AAAAAACAGCGCATCCACTACAAATATGTAATAAATATGTGAATAAAAATTCATAAGGTTTTTGCTCAACTTTTGAATAATGACTTTATGTAATATCAATGCTTAACTCCATTAATGAGCAGAATATTTAATCTAAATGTGTATATTGAAAGGAAAAGAGAGTCTGAAATCATTAGGCTTCGCTATTACACCAGTAAAAGAGTGCATACGCACGGTCTAGAGTACCCGTACTCTACAGAATCTGCACATATTTACGCCAAGTTTATTTTTTATAAATCTCAGTATGTACGGGGAAAATTGCGTACGCACATTTCCATGCCCATTTTGTGCGTACGCAACATTTATACATCAGGCCCCAGGACTTCATCTTTTTCTGTGACACATTAAGATTAGAACGAGCAATTTCACAGTCTTTACTAAGTCGGTAGCGAAAATGACTAACGTAGTCCAGCAAACTAGAAGATTCAGATGCATCAGCCAGCCATTTTTCCTTCAACAACTTCAAAGGTCCACGAACATGGTGTCCAAAAACCAACTGAGCAGGACTAAATCCCACAGATACCTGCACAGCTTCTCTAGCAACAAAAAGCACAAGGTGCACACCTTCATCCCAGTCCCTCTGAAACTCAAGACAGTAGGTTTTCAACATCGCTTTCAGAGTCTGATGAAACCTCTCGAGAACTCCCTGGGACTCCGGATGGTAAGCACTGGAATAGCAATGTGAAATTCCTAACTGATCCAAAACCTGTTTGAAAATTCTGGACATAAAATTGGAAGCTTGATCAGACTGAACAGTTTTAGGAAGCCCAAACGTTAAAAAAAAAAAAACTTCAGCAAGGCCTGCACTACCACAGGAGCCGTTATCTTCCTTAAAGGAATGGCCTCCGGAAAGCGAGTAGAAGAGCACATAACCATCAATAAATATTGGTTACCACGTTTGGTTTTAGGTAAAGGTCCAACATAATCTACTAAACTCTAGCAAAGGGCTCCTCAAAAGCTGGAATAGGATGTAAAGGAGGAACTAGTATAATCTGGTTTACCAGCTAACTGGCAAACACGACAGGTCCTACAATAAGCTACTACATCTTTTTTTAGACCAGGCCAATAGAAATTCTGCAATATACGATTATATGTCTTATTCACACCAAGATGCCCTGCCATGCTACAGTCATGGGCTAACTTGCGAATTTCTTTACGAAAAGCCTGAGGTACCACAATTTGAAAGACATTGCTCCACTCATCTTTAGATAAAGATTGTGGATGCCATTTTCGCATTAGATCACCATCCTTCTGAAAATAACCAGATGACAGCTCATTTACCTCTTGTTCAGTGCTCATTTCCTCAAACAGAGATAAAGAGGAGTTTTTACTTTGCTCTAAAATGAGTCGATCTCTGGTAATTAAAGATTCTTTAGGATGATTCTCCCGAGATGTTTCTAGCTCTTCCTTGCCTGTCACTATCTGAGACTTAACAGGCACATCTTTATCTCCATCCTTCCCATCAGACTCCCTCAAAAAGGTATCAGCCAGATTAAAATTAAAATCTGCACCTCTTTCATCTGTGGATTTAAAAGTCTGTTTAGACATAGCTCGAGTCACAGCACATACTGGGAAAACATCAGGAAAAGACGGAGACAGATCAGAGCTCTCACTTATCCCAGGCACCTCAATAACTTGAGGATTAGGTGTGACTCTGACACCAGCCAAATCATTGCCCAAAATGAAGGAAACCCCTTCAATTGGCAAATAGGGTTGCACACCTACCACTACCTGACCAGACACTAAAGGTGATTTTATCTCAACGCTATGTAGAGGAACAACGGCACAACCCATTTCAACTCCTCTTACCAGCACTTGAGCTCCTGTAGCAGTTTCGTCAGAGAGAGGTAAAATTCCCTCAAGTAGTAACAATTGTGAGTCTCCCGTGTCTCTAAGAATACTCACAGGAACGCCACCGTCTTGACCGGAGAGAGATACCACCCCAGTTGTAAGAAAAGGGGCATAATCTGTTGAACTAACAGTACTCTCCATGTCTACACATTTGGACGGCTGGAGCTCAAAATGGTAAATGGCTTGGTAGTTTCTTACTGAGAACAAAGCAGACAACTTATGCCCTGGCTTTTTACAGTAAAAGCAAATAATATTTGGCTTAGCAAGAATAGTACTAGGTTTACCAGAGGAGGTTGAAACCGAACTAGATTCCACCACAGCCAGCTTACTTCGGCCCTGACAAGAACTTCTTTTTAATCCACGGTTTACAAATAATACATTATGAGTCAAAGCAAACTCGTTAGCCACAACAGCTGCAACAGATAAATTGGAAACCTTCTGTTCACTTAAGTAGGTGGCCAGAGCTTCTGGGACACAATTTTTAAACTCCTCTAAAAGAACCAAGTCCCTGAGTTGCTCTTTAGTCTCAACGTGCTTAGAAGCACACCACCTATCAAACATGTTCTCCTTTTATCGAGCAAACTCTACAAACGTCTGCCGATCACTCTTAAAGTAACTTCTGAAGGGCTGACGGAATGCCTCAGGCACTAACTCATAAGCATGAAGGATGGAAGTTTTAACTATCATAAACAGCGCTCTAAACTAAGTGATGAATAAACCTCTTTAGTTTTACCTGTTAGCACACATTGTAAAAGTAGTGTCAAAACCTCCCTGGGCCACTTCAGTGAGGTAGCAACTCTCTCAAAATGGGAGAAATACTTCTCTACCTCTTTTTCAAAGAAAGGGGGAACCATTTTAATATGTTTACCAATGTCAAAGACTTGTTCTTCCCTTTGAGAGGGCTCAGTAGAAACCACTACAGGTGAATATTATAATAATAATAATTCATTACATTTATATAGCGCTTTTCTAGGCACTCAAATCGCTTTACATTGTCAGGGGGTATCTCCTCATCCACCACCAGTGTGCAGCATCCACCTGGATGATGCGACGGCAGCCAGAACGCCCACCACACACCAGCTTATTGGTGGAGAGGAGACAGAGTGATGAAGCCAATCAGCAGATATGGGGATTGTTAGGAGGCCATGATGATCAGAGGCCAATGGGCAAATTTGGCCAGGATGCCGAGGTCACACCTCTACTCTTTCGAAAGACATCCTGGGTTTTTTAATGACCACAGAGAGTCAGGACCTCCGTTTAACGTCTCATCCGAAGGACGGTGCTTGTTGACAGTATAGTGTCCCCGTCACTACACTGGGGCGTTAGGACCCACACACACCACAGCGTTAGCACCCCCTGCTGGCCTCACTAACACCTCTTCCAGCAGCAACCTAGTTTTTCCCAGGAGGTCTCCCATCCAGGTACTGACCAGGCTCAGCTCTGCTTAGCTTCAGTGGGCAACCAGTCTTGGGCTACAGGGTGATATGGCTGCCGGCATAGGTTGCTGACGTTCCAATTCCATCTTTCTAAGAACAAAAGCTTTCCTTTTCCAGTCCTTCCATTCTCTTCATCTCAAGTTCTTTTTGCAACTCTTTCTTTTAAAGCTATTCTTTCCTGTTCTAGGCAACACTTCACTACTTCCAGGTCTAACTCTGTTTCTCGTAACGCCATCTCTTTCAGCTTTACTTCACTGTCAACAATACCTGGCTCTTGTAATTTTGCCATTAAAATTCCTTTTTCTTCTAAAGTGCCCTTCAAACTCTTTACTACCGATTCTTTAAGTTTTTTTATCACTACTAGTGAGCTCTATATTATAATGAGCAGCAACCAGCAAAAGCTGCTCTTTAGTGCACTTTTCTAGCGCTTCCTCAGAAGGTTCTTTCAGAAATTCTTTCACATTGGAAGCCATGGCTAAACTCGAACCTTTCAACCCAGTACCTACTTTAGGAGTTCACACAAATCACCACAATATCCTTTCAAATATACTCTACAAACAATGAAGATGAAGAATTGGAGAGGCGCTCAGAGTTACTGCAGACAGAATCACATTGATCTGGTCAGTGTGAGAAACCAGAATGAGAATCAACAGGTTAAGAAGATCATTAGTGATAATCATTTATCTGGATCATTTGTTTGGATCGGTCTGTTCAGAGACTCATGGCAGTGGTCAGATCAGAGTAACTCCTCATTCAGATACCAGAAGTCTGGTCAACCTGATAATATTGGAGGTAATGAAGACTGTACAGCTGTTAAACAGAATGCTCAGAGACAATGGATTGATGTCTCTTGCAACGATCACAACCGCCGTTTTCCTTTCGTGTGTCATGAAGGTGAGTAGATCCTCACAAAACACACACAATCCATCCATCACCTCCAGATCTCTTAAAGTTCATGCTACATATCTGACATGACAAATTCATCCACAGTGTTTGTGTCTCTCTCTAGTTTCTGCTTGTGGTTTGTTTGGTTTCCAGATAAACTGATTGTGATCAGAGAGAATCCGACGTGGTCCGAAGCTCTGAGATACTGCAGACAGAATCATGTGGATCTGGTCTCGGTTCATTCAGAAGAGATTCAGCGTCGTGTGATGAACGTGGTTAAACGGGCATCTACTGCGGCGGTGTGGTTGGGTTTACGTCACTCCTGCACTGTGGGCATCTGGTTCTGGGTGAGTGGAGAGACCGTGTGCTCTCAGAACTGGGCTCCAGGGAACGGCACATCAGAGGAGGACTGTGAACACACAGTGAGATCTGGAGCAGTTCAGTCTGGAGGAGATCAGCGCTGGATCAGCCGTCCTGAAACTGACAAACTCAACTTCATCTGCAGCAGATATTAAGAGTGAAAGATACACAGACCTTTCATGTAAGAAAACAAGTGCTTGTGTGCTCACTTCCTTTAACTTCATTTTCATTCAGCACTTTCTTAATAATTTTACATATAATAACTTTAGCCTCAGCAGGCGGTCGCACCTGACGGTTAAAAAGGCAGAAATCTTTTGCTCAGATGTTTGTTAATATAGTTCAACGTATTCTTCAGTAAACTGTTATTGAGCTGTAAATTGTCTGATTTGTTCTGTTGAGGGTCTGTTTATCTTCAGGTGGATGAATTTCTGTTGATGTATCAGTGTGATTCCTGTGGGTTTGTTTGCTTCATTTTAAGAGCCAAAGGCAAGAATTAATGTTAAAGTATATTTTGCTTTTATAAACTCTTTTTTTTTTTTTTACTAAACTCAGAATTATGAGATATTAATCTGGTAATTGAATTGTGTGGGATCGAAGAGCATCATATGTACTCATCATTAGATATTATGAGATAATTTGTGTAACTGAAGAGTATGATATGAGTTTTCTAAATTCCTTATTCGCTGTTTTCTCTCTTATGTTGAGTTTCATAAATTAATCATGTCTGATTAGAAATGACAGGTTGAATGTGAATCAATGGGAACCAACATTATGTGCCTCTGCTAAATGAAATATTGTTTATTCTTATGAAGATTGGGTATGAAATATCTACAATAATTGTGCGCTAAACATAAAAGAACATGTCAACAACAGCAGCTCAAATAAACTCCTGTACAACCAGCAATCTCATCTCCTGACTGTTTCCCAACATCAGAATGATCACTAAATTATAGAATCCAACATGGTTTAAATCATAATTCAGACATATTAAGGACACATAAGCTGCTTCCCAATTCAGATGCTGCATCCTTTAAAGGCTTCATTCAAGACCGAATGCATCACAGCAGCACAATGAAGGCTTTCCTTTTTCAAATGAGTCTTTCTTTATTCGGGCTGTGAAGGAAAGAACGAGTGGATCCTTCTCAGTCCAGCATATCCCAAGATTCATTACACATCAATGATGACTGAGGCTGAGTTCAAAACTGCATACTCACTGAGTAGGTCCTTAATTTCAATAAGTACTTACTTAACGAGTGCTAAAAGAGTATGTGCTCTATAGCATGAATGCGTGAAGTATGAATGCAGACATCATCTGCCATGTTGACGTTATCATGTGACCTAATACATTATAACAAGCGCAACAACTTAAAAGATAGGAGCAACAGGTTTAATTCATTATTTACTTGTAAATATCTTGACATTGATGAAATTTGCTCATGTTGTGGTCTTGTGCTGCCCATTTATTTTGTGATTGTAGTATAACCAATAAATTTTGTGTTGATTTAAGTTCTTATATTTTTAACCCTACTAATGTGACCCACAGTTTTATTCTTAAAGGTAATCTTTTTATTACTAAAATCCAAAATCGAATATGTTGTTACTGTAGTTTCTTTATTTTATGTGCAAAATTTTTCATCCACAATTGCAGTGGATCAGAGATCGCCACTGCGGGAATCAGAGCACGGGTCTCCAAACTCTGTCCTGGAGGGCAGATGGTCCAGCAGAGTTTAGCTCAACTTGCCTTAACTAGTGATGTTCAGTTCTTGAACAAATCGTTCTTTTGAGCCAGTTCTCAGGAAGTAACCGGTCGAGCCGGTTCACAAAATCAAACTAAATCGAACTTTAGTTCCGGGGTGATGACGAAAAACGCACAGCCAAAGTAGCACGTTCAACTCAAAAAGATCCGAATGAGCCAGTTCAACTAACTGTCAAAGTTTGCAGAGGATTACCAAGGATTCTGATCTGAATGAGTTGACGATACTGTGCAAGCCTGAGGCACGTACTCAAATAAGACTACTGTTAAAATAAAATAAATACTGTTAATAAATAAAATTAAATTACATTTTATTTAAACCTGCAAAAACCTTTCTGTCGAGAGATGTAAATAAATATTATGTAATAACATTTTAACTTTTATTTTAGCTCAGGTTTTCAGAGGGGGAATTGAATCTGAAGATTCAAGATCAACCTGATTGAACTGATTCCAAAATTGATAGTTCACACTTTATCAACGGTCGTCCAGCGAGACTTTAACATCAGTATATCTTACCAATTTGAATATTTGTACTATCCCTGGCCAAAGGCTAATACATGCTTGTGATAAGTTATAAGCTACGAGCTAGGTAGCTGGATCTGAGCAGAGTTTTAACTAAAAAATACACGACACAAGACAATACTTCTTTATAAATGAAACAAAAGTTTATTCACTATTCTATGGCACATTAAACTAAGCTAACACACACACACGTACATACAAAATGTTTAGGAAATGATTAACGGAGGTTGCATGAAGTCCCAAAATTCTAATGCTCGTTTTCTACGAGTATCTTAACTTCAACCTGAGAAAACTCATAAAAGCAGAGACTTAGCTTATGTTTACTGCTTAAACTCAGTTCAGCACCCGTTCAGCAAGAGATTAAGAGATTCTCTTTGTTACTTGCGTTTCAGTGACAGCTGAGTGGAGTTTTTCCAGTTGCTGGCTTTTCGGGGAATCCCAGCGCCTTTGATTGGTTGCTGATTTGTCATTTGGATGACGTCTTTGGGAGAGCTTGGGGATGAATGGGGTTTCCTGGTGACGCAGAGGCTTTGGCAGTTCTTCTGAAAGATTCTGAGTTTGCAAGACTTTAGGCTTTTGAAGATCTCTGGTAGTCACGAAGTTTCAACTAAATGTTCGAGTTCTGGATGACCCGATCGCTTGATGGTGCAGCGTGTGTGTGTGCAACTTGGAGCGCGATTTAACATAAAGGCGAAAAGGCAAAGATCTTTTCTGACATTGGGTTTTTGATCCAGCTGCATAAGTCCGTCCCACAGGTCGTCGTTCCAATCAGATATTGGCTGCAGGGCAGGGCCACCCCCATACTGTTCCTTTATCATGCATGGATCACATGCTTCCCGTGGGGAATATTCCTGCATGTTTTAATAACTTCTTATGAAGTGTCGTACAACACACACTGTTCAAAGTAACAGCTTTTCACTCATTTCAATGTTCTGGAAATAAAACAAGCTTTCGTTCAAGCTCAGATATCGGGTAGTTTGCATACACATTAATAATTTTATCTACTAAAAGGAAAAGTTATAAGGCAAAGATTAAAATATCATAGGTTCCAATAACACATCAAACAGAAAGCATATTATTTGGGAGTATATTGCTCCGATACTTTAAATGATTTTAAATGATTGTCTTTTAAAATCGTCATGCAAGGTCCTGTTCTCAACTATATGTTGTGAAAGAACTTTTTAGTTCTCGATACAATAAGATCTCTGTTGTCTTCTGATTGGATTAGTTTAGACCTCGTGATGAGTTGATTCAATGGCATATCCGTGTCTGTTCATGATAGAAATCCTACAATTACTATAGTTTATTGTGCATGCAGATTATATTTTAAGTTAAGTGAAATCAATGAGTTTATAAGACTGGTTCATTCTTTCTTTATACTTTAGATATGTAGAACATATCCGCGTTTGTGCATCAGTGTCTGTAATGTGTGCTGTATGTGTGAAATTTTTAGGAATTTTATCCAAGGCTAGTCAATACTGGTCAGTCGTATCTGACATAAAGGATCCGCAAATGAAACTGTGACCACAAACACCATTAACGTAAGTGAATTAAATTGCAACAATCTGCAATATGCGTTTACACAAATAACTTTTTATTTGAATGTTTCAATATGTGTTGACACTAATGACTTTATTTGAATGTTTCATTGATACAGCATGGCACTGAGTTGTTTGAAAAGAAATGCGTAGTGACATAATGCTTGATAACGCCAGGAACCGATGAATCAGCTTTTTGAACCGGTTCAATGAGCGAAAAGAACAGGTTCGCGGAAATGAATCGGACTTTGCATCACTAGCCTCAACACACCTGCCTGGAAGTTTCAAGTATGCCTAGTAAGACCTTAATTAGCTGGTTCAGCTGTGCTTAATTAGAGTTGGAGCTAAACTCTACAGGACACCGGTCCTCCAGGACCAAGTTTGCACACCTCTGGTGTAGAGAATCACAAAGCCGTAAACATGCTTGAACTTTGGAGGAGACCAAAGCAATTTTTTGAATAAGATAATGGCCCTTTTTATTTAAAGAAAATAAATAGTTAAAAGGTTTAAGGAAAATAAAATGTAGTGTCTGGACCAATCAGACACACAATTTTTTTGTTATATTTAACAAATACTCTGTAACACCCCTCAGTCAACAAACCAACTATGAGGGTCTATGGACCCTTCCCCCGAATTGCATCTAACACCTCAGAAAGGCAGAACAGGCCTCTGGTTCCATGGCAACCAATGCTGATATAACTGGTTTTATTGCCCAAAGGAATGCGGGCAGAGCACAATTCATTTACCCTCAGGAAAGACACACAATGCCCATAAAAATGGACTCTTCTCTAATTAATTCATAGGAAAACCTTTCTGTGAATGAACACACATCTCCTCAGGACATTGTGTATACCATTACTGTTCTTGTATATTGTCTTTTGAATTGTATACTGTTTTGTGTGTGTGTTATGATAGATCACTAGTTAATATAGCCCCACCGATACCATGTTTGGTATCTTTGAATTTGTCTTCTGATGATCTAAATGAGCGATTATATTATATTTGGGTACATAGGCAATATATTAGTGTTCTAAGAATCTTTAGTTACGTATGCAAATTACCATGCTCTCACACAAAGGGTCATAAAACTCCCCAGTATTTCCAACCTCCCGCTTGGAATTTCAGCCTTTCTCATTGGATAAGCCCATCCTGAGAGGAGTGAATCTTCTCAGACCTTAAAAGGCTCATGCACAGTTCAGCCCATGTTGTTCTTTTTTCTTCTGCTAAGTCTTCTGATTGCAGCCCGTGTAGAAAGCCTGAGCCGGTGCGGGCGTGCCCGGTGGGCTCCAACACATAGCCAGTCAGTCTGCGGCTCTGTTAGATTGTGAGAAGATGAGGATGTGAGCTAGAAGTCTTCTGTACCTTGAGTCTGCGCCAGGCCTCGGGCTTTGACTTTCCATTCACCAAAGATCCTAGGA